ATTGTCTTATACATTTATTGATCCTTAATGTAATTTTATAGCCAAAATTGGCCTCTGAATAACAAAATAAAATAAATTATATATACATAGCTTTAGACAATTGAAAAAAAATTGACAATTTTATAAATATAATTATTAATTTTAATTATAAATAGCTATATAAATATGTAAAAAAAAATGTTTACCTACTGAAAATGAGTTTCAATAAACTGTCTTCTTCTAATATTTCCCCTTATTGATGGTGCAATATATCTTTGTACTATAGGTTCAGATGAATATTGTTCAATGCTATCTCTCTCACCAGAAAACACATCTTCTCTCATGTCGATGGCCATATTGTGTAGTACAGCACATGCAACAATTGTTTTTTTTGCTGTTTCAATATCTCCAAACATACCTTTTAATAGGCAACGAAACCGTTGCTTCCACAAACCAAAACATCTTTCCACTGTGTTCCTGGTACGGATATGGCTCCTATTATATCTTTCTTCTTGTGGTGTTGTGAGGTTCAGCAGCGGTGTAAATAGGTAAGGGGTACAAGGATAGCCACTGTCACCAAGTAATATTCCAGAGAATGCACCAGCCTCAAACCTCTGTTTTAGTCTACATTCTCGGAATATTCTGGAGTCATGTACACTACCACGCCACCTGGTAACAATGTCCATGATTTTCAGGTCAGCATCACAAACCACCTGTAAAATAAGAGCTCATTAGTACTTTATGTTTTTCTGGTTTATTTTAATATATATTTATTACCATAAGATAGTCAAACAAATTATTTTCTATTATGATAAAGTAAAGTTATTAAGAGACAATCACAGCTATTTAAAATATTTGTATATTACCTGTACATTAATTGAAGAAAATCCTTTTCTATTAATATATAACTGACCCCCATCAGCATTCACTTTCTTTACTCGTATGTGAGTACAGTCAATTGCGCCAATTACTGTAGGAAAATTAGCAATACTGCGAAATTTCCTAATGGTTTCCTGCTGTTCATTTAAAGTAATAGGCATTTTAATAAATTCTCGGGACTTCCGTGACAAAATTTCCGCTACTTTTTTACATGTCCTACTTACTACTGGTTGAGACACACCATGTAAATCAGCTGTATCGTCTTGAATCTACGAATAAAACAATAATATGTATTATTTGGCTTTTTATCTAGCGTAATGTTAGGTACATTGACCCCACCAAGATTATAAACAGCACTTACTTCATGGCGAGCCCAGTTGCGTAATGCACAAACCACTTGAATTTCAGGACTCAATGGGCATCCTCGAGGGTCGTGCACTAAATCCTCACGTAAGATACCCACTATTTTTTCTCCGAAACGTTTTGAGAACCTATACTTATACCTTAAATCTTCGTCACTCAATTCAAACGGATTCACACGATGTCGATGTCTATCAGGTCGCCGAGTGGTGTCTAGCATGTCCAAATCTTCTAAATCCATCAAGTCAATCATGTTAATATCCATTTTTAACGATTTTAATAACACCAAATGAAAACAACGCTCACCTCAAATTAAGAAGTACCGAAATTGAGGTTAGTATAGAGTACCACAAACTATATAGAAAGGTTAGTACCATAGCTAAACTAGGGGTCTCGAAAGATTAACTTTAATACCATAGATAATCCTTGAACCAGAGATAATCTTCGTTTTGTAATAACGTTTTTCTTAGTTTATGGTTTAAATATATTACTAACTCCAGTACTATATTAAGTCCGCGTTTTGGAATAAGGCGGATTATGTTTACTAGTTACTTAATCTCTTATTAACTAACAAATACAGTTTTTTGGCATCATCTGATAACGGGTCCGATAAAATACTATTACTACTACCAATTAAGGACAAATGTAAATTACAATTTGCTCTTTCTCTTGAGTTCTGGGCACATTCTATCAAAATGTGATAAACATCATCGATAATATTACAAATTGAACAATTTGGTGAGGTAAAAAAAATACGCTTATTATTACTTTTTATACGTAATACTTAAATACGTAAATAAGGCAATAATACCGAATAATATCCTTGTAAGTATGCACATATTATAAAAAAAAAATAGTTTTATTTAATAGAAGTCTGACCGAATACTGTTTTTGATTTTAGCTGTTTTCGTTTTCAGAAATGATTTAAATTTTTTTCGGCGCGAACCGATAACGAATAAATAATATAAAATTCTTCGTTTAGCAGATCAAATTTATGCAGACAGCTGTGTAATAGTGGCAATAGGAGAAAATGCACAAATAAATATTCCTTGTCTATTTAAATTAATAATAAAATATCTTAACAAAACTGTTTAATTAGGACTTAAATTGGTATATTTGATTACATTGTGTTACAAAATAATTAGTTTGTGTACGTCATGTTTGTTCTAAGTCATTACTTTGTCAACAAACAAGTTGTTTATAGTTTATAGGTTCATTAATTAAATGAAACTTAATACGAATAAACCGATTTTCCGACGATGATCCGCTTAGGTATAAAGCGTGGCGAACGAAGCCTCAGACTAGCAAAGAAAGGTAGACGGAGCCCTGTGAACATTTCAGATGATCCCGAATCCCGAAACCATGTTTTACTTCTTGAATCTTGACATTTATTTCTTTCTTTCTTTACCACCTCGCAAATGTTCACTCCGGGACGCACATATATTATATGCTTTTTAAACCATGTTGTTGCTTGCAAATGATTTTAAATACCTATGTGTGCGTGCGTGCGTGTTCTTACAATATTTCGGGCATGGTTTTGAATTGGTTTCCGCGTCACTTTGTTTTCGTTGAACACTGTCTGATTACAGGCTGAGAAGAATGTTTATATTTATTTTTCTGCTGACTTCCAAAAAGGAGACGGTACTCAATTCGACTGTAGGTTTTTTTTTATGTGTGTTACCTTATAACTTTTTACTGGGTAAACTGATTTCGATGATTCTTTTTTTATTTGAAAGCTTCTCGTGTGGTCCCATATGAATTTGATCAAGGTCAGACCAATAGTTTTTGAGTTATTCTTAATAACTTATATTGAAGTCGGCTGTACAAAATTTTTAATTTTAAATTATAATAATCTTATTATGTAATGAATTTTAAAATCGATTACTCTATAGCCCTATACTATTCGGTCTCGCAGTTATCCTTAGTGTAACGAAGCGTTGACCCCATTCTTGTTATGGGCGCATAATCAATCGACTGAACTTCCTTTAGTTTATCTCAATTGGATGCTTGGCATGTGTATTGTCAATGTTCATCTTTGTATTACAGAGTACCTACGCACTGTTCTTAGATCTGTGAATTGTATGAGTTGAATGTCTTCTCTCAACATTTATACATCTATATCTATCTATTGCCGTTACCGTTACAGCCTATTACAAGCTGACTGCTGCCACTGCTGAAGCCAAGCCTCCCCATAGATTGCATCATGCGTTTGCCATGGTTGCTAGGATATGCAGGCGAGTTGGCGGCCGCAGTCTTTTTCAGAAAGACGCTACTGCCCATCTTCTGTTTTAGTTATTCTCTGTCGTCTCTTACGACACCCACTGTATTTATTACAGACTGGCTGTTCCCCGCGACTTCGCCCGCGTGTTATTTGAGGTTTTAATTTTTTTGCGCGGAACCCTAATTCTTTTTCTAAAATAAAAGTAGCCTAAGTTACTCCTTGTGACATCAGCTATCTGCCAGTGAAAATCCCGTCAAAATAGGTCCAGCCGTTTCGGAGATTAGTCAGAACAAACAGACAGACAGACAGACGGAAAGAGAGACAGACAGACAGACAAAAACTTTAAAATTATATTTTTGTTATTAGTACCGTATATACTTTCATATGCATTTAGTAAAAAGCTGTAATTTTGACATTACAAACAGACATTTCAATTTTATTTATTCGTATAGGCTAATAACAATACATTGTTGAACATAGGCCTCCTCATAGATTTACTCCTAGGGGGGAATTTGCCATAATTGTCCTGCTTGGCAGGCGGGAGTACGCACACATAGTATTATTTAATGGTACAGGAAGCATTTTTTACTTTCACTGACTTATTTAAATCTTTTAACCTTTTTTAAGAGTTGGTAAGAAAATATGTTAGTCCTTCCAACTAATTCTAGGTGTATGGTTGCAGGTAAAAATGTATACCGGATGCAAGATCAGTCTGACGGTGATTTATAAGTAATTTTACTTTTAAACCGCTGTGCCACCGGTGAAAAACCGGTTTCAGAGACTGACGAGACAGGAAAATAATAATAATATATAAATTAAAAAAAAAGAAAAAATTTAATCTAAAAAATTTTAAAATGTTTATTCAAGATAAATTTATTTAAGGTAAGAATTCATTAACTTAATAATTTATTATTCAAGTTGTAGACACAGATTGTAGATTTTTTTTTTAAATATTCTGAGCTTGTACAGATAAAGTCTTGGTTTTAATGGACATTGGCCATTTCTTATCCGTGCTATCCGTGTTACACGTATCCGTGCTCACCGCGCTCGGAATGTGGTTTGATGCGCGTAGATCTGACCTTCGGTTTTTTTTATAGAATAAGGGTGACAAACGAACACACAGTCCACCTGATGGTAAGTGGTAAGTACCATTTAGCCTCAATAAAGAATCAAAATACAGATGCGTTGCCACCCGCATTCCATCTTAGTCCGCAGGACTAAGATGGAATGCGTTGTTACCAGTAAAAGGGTCCCCGGTTCTCTACACTCGCCATACGAAACACAGCAGCATTGAGCTGCCATTTTACGCTGGCATTCTGTGAGTGCGTGGTCCTGCCCCGGTTGAGCCGACCCATTCGTGCTGCAACCATAACTTAGCCGCAGCGATGTGTGTAAGTGGCTACTGCAGCCCATGGTCCTGCAGTCAACTTTCCACTAAGAATGCAAGAGAAGCATTGTGATCTCACAGCCTGCAATTATACTGGTTTTCTATACACTTCAGACAGAAACCTCCTACTCCATTTCGAGGTAGAAGCCACATAGGAAATTATTGAACACTTACCCATTAGCTAAAACCCTGGTTGCGTGCTCGACGGCAAAGGCCGTGTCTGCTAGAGGCTTGACTGCAGCGCCGGTGGCTGCAGCCCGCTGGGCCCTGGCGGCTGGCGTGTCCAGTGCCAAGGGCGTTAGTGTGGTCTCCATCAGTTTTCTTTGCTGCAGCGCTTCCTTACCCGCAGATACCGCGGACGTTATGTCGTTGGCGCTGGGTTGTGCTTTCAACCAGGCTACGGGTGGACTGCCTGCGTAAAGACAATCATCGGTAAGACGTGGTGTAACGTGTAGTGACGGCGTAAGAGAATCCATCCCCCTTTTTAATTCTTTGGGTGTCAAAGCGGCCATACGAAACACAGCAGTATCAAGCTGCCATTTTACGCTGGTATTCTGTGAGAGCGTGGTTCTTCCCCGGTCGAGCCGACCCATTTGTGCTGTCGCACCATAATATAGCTGCAGCATGGCTCAACCATTTTTTTTTCATTTGTTTAAATTAAATTTTTAAAACACTATGTCAGGGACTCAGCCTAACAAAGAAAGATACACGGAGCGCCATTGAAAATGTTCAACTTATTGGAAGAACGCGCGCACTCAACCACATATGCATCTAAAATCATTTACAACTAACAAAATGCATTAAGTACTTATTTGAAGGTCTAGCTGTGGACTTTTACGGCCTATTAAAGAAAGAGAAAAGAAAGATGTGTGGATAAGTGCCTGTCAAGAAGTTGAGCACGGTTTCGTTGCCAATTAGGGATGCACCTCACGCACCGGATGTCGCCAGTTGGGGCTAAGGTGAACTTATTTGTTACGCATGGTCACATATTGCGATCATAACCCCTGGGAATGAGTTGATCGCTTCCAAGCTGTTTCTAAAATAAATTTTATACCAACCATTAATGTAAAATATGCTTTAAAAAAAAGTCCCGCTGGGTTTCTTGCTGGTTCTTCCCAGGACAGAAGTTTTTTTTTCGAACCAGTGGTAAAGTAAAAAATGACTTTCAATAAGAATTACACAAGTGATCTATATTGAATAAAAAATTATTCTATTCTATTCTATTATATTCATCATTGAAAAGTTGCGTTTTAAACAAAACTTTTTCGGTTTTTAGTGACACAGTGACATAATATACACAAAACAGTGCTCAAGTGCTGTATTCCTTAATTATTTACACTTTCTTCTACTTTTAAAAATGTCTGTAGTTTGGTTTATATATTTTTAATATAATTAAAATAAAATATAACTATGTAACTAATATAACTGTGTACTAAAATATAACTGTAAATATTTCACCTTATTCCTAAGAGGCACCACCCTAGTTGAAGAAAAAGTCGTAGAAGCCCTCATAAATGCAGTGCAGCCTGTATATTTTTTATTGGTCTGAGGTTAGACATAGGAAAAATTTATTCAGTCATAAAAATTAATCCGTTGGTGATTGTGATCATAAATTCTATTATAAAAAAATTGAATGACAAGGGACTTACTTTTCAGCGGCCAAGACATATTTAGCATAGGCAGTAGATTATCAGGCAAGGTAGAATTGACCACGTCGGATCTGCCGTTGTTACTGCTGTCCTGTAGGCCCAGGTTGTATCCAACTGTCACAAGTAGTGCCACGGACAGCAAAACTCTGTTAAAGATAAAAAATGTTGCATAATATTGATGTGGAGGAACGTGCAATATAAGAAAGCCTTATAATATGCTCTACAACCTATAAATAACCTATACGTAGTAGAGCCATGCCGCAGCTACTCGTAAATTATGGTAGTAGCACGAATGGGTCGGATCGAGCGGGGACGGACCACGCTCTCAATGAATACCAGCGTAAAGTACAGAGCGGTTCGAATCGTCGACGGCCGAGTTCTTTCTGATCGGCTCGTTTTAATGGCGCTGCATAGGGATGTTGCATCCCTTTGTATTTACCACGGGGAGTGCTCTGAGAAATAGTTCGGATTAATTCCAGCCGCCAAATTTCACGTAGATACGCACATACGTTATAATTCACGATTTCATCCACAGTCCTCACCATCTGTATGCTTGGCGGTCCACCACTATGCGTTTTACTAGGAGTTTTCTTCCTCGTACAACTTCTCTGTGGAATTGTTTACCACCGGCGATTTTTCCGGACCGATATAACTTAGGGATCTTCAAGAAAAGAGCTTACTCCTTTCTAAAAGGCTGGTAACGCACCTGTAATTTCCTTGGTGTTGCGGTGAGGTGAGCCACATGCTCCTTTGCCCCCTCTTCTATAAAAAATTGATGCTGGACGCATCGCATCATTGCACGCTTTCCACTTAGGGCGTAAGTGGAAACTACGGTGCGCCTTACTTAAGAAAGGATAAGGGAGGAGTTATCCTTCTTAGGAAGAGAGGCCATTAAACCTGAGGTTTTCACAATTCACAACAGTTCCAAAGCACCCCAACCCCTACTATTAGCATGAGGCTCCTTTAGTGGATTGTGTTAACTCCCCGGAAGGGGGGGGGGTTGGGTTTTGGTTTTAGCTTATTTTGAACTGTTTTATTATCATCGGGATCAGGGGGGGGGGGGTTCCAGCCTCCCTCTCTGAGGAGTATGTATCTATGCGCCTCTACTTTCGGTGTTCATTATATAATTGAAGTATTTTATCGATAATAATTCTTTAAGAGACGACTGGATAGTGGGCATTTCGAGGTCGCGGTGGAAATCCGCGTTCTCCACATAAAAAGTAGCTCCTGTGATGCGACACAGTGATTTATTTTGAATAGCTTAAAGCTTCCCTTTGGAACGTCTTTTCGTTTAGGAGGAATATGTGCAAAAAGTAAGTGTTCTGTGGGCTGGCCTTTATTTATAGTTGACTTGTCAAGGTGTAGCGTGACCGTGACCCATTCATATTAAATCGTACTTATTATTTTATGTCCCACTAACACGTTAAGCGCATAAATAGTGAGAGGAAACCACCGATCACTGATCGATGGAGGAAACCTACTATTTATTCATTAGCGTTTAATATTTTCATTAAGTTTTGCAATAAACGTAATTATATAAAACGTATTATTATTGAATACGTTGAATGCATGTGGCTACATTGAATGTATGTGGAGCAATGAATGATAAGATGGATGAAGTATGCGATATGATGTATGATAGAGGAATAGACGTGTTATGTGTAAATGAGACGAAACCGAAGGGAAAGGATGCCACTACACATGGCATGTATACCGCGTACTGGTCTGGTGTAGACGAGACCGAGCGGGCATGCCAAGGAGTCAGTATCATTCTTTCAGAAAGAATGGGTCATTGTGTGAAAGAGTATGAATGTGTAAGCCCGATACTGCTATGGATACGAATGAAAGTGGGCTTAAAGAAGTTGTTTGTTTTAGGGGTCTACGCCCCAGACATGTCTAAGCCCACTTATATTCGAGAGCAGTTTTGGGAGTTGGTAAGGATGGTGCTCATGAAATGCAAGGTTAATGAAAATATTGTGATATTAGGCGATTTTAATGGAAGGCTTGGGGTGAGGAGGCTTGGTTATGAAAGGATATTGGGAACGTTTGGTGATGAAAGTATAAATGAGAATGGTGAAAGCCTTCTCGCCGAATGCGTGGAAAAGAATCTTGTTGTGACGAACACTTTCTTTCGTCATAAGAAGATTCACACGTATACATGGGAAAGAGGTGATGATAGAAGTATGATAGATTTCATAATTGTTGATGAAAGAATGAGGAGCGCGGTGGTAGATACAAGGGTTTACCGGGGCTCTAACGTAGGGACGGATCATTACTTGGTCTTATGCCGAATTAATGGTCTTTTCAGACGTTGGAGGCATTGGACATCTGTGTCTACCACTGCGTTACAGCGTATAAGAACAGAGAGTTTACAAGATGAAGGTGTGAAAGAGAAGTTCAAATGTAGATTGAGAGAAAATATAAGTGGTATGGCTGAATTGTGTATGAATGATTTAGACTTGGAGACTGTGTGGTATAATGTCAAGAAAGGTTTAGTGGATGTAGCTACCGAAGTATGTGGTGTAAGTAAGAGAACGAATGAAAGGAAAAATAACACGTTATGGTGGGATGAGGTACGGATGGAAGTTGAAGCAAAGAAGAAAGCATGGCTAGATTTACTAGTAACCAAGGCTAGTAATTCTAGCAGTATGAATGATGATATTGAAAGGAAAAAGGCAGTCTTTAGACACCTAAATAAGAGAATAAAAGAAGTAGTTGAAAGGAAAAAGCAAGAAAGAACGGATAAGAATGATAGAAGAATATCGGATAACTTCCAGGCAAACATTAAAATGTTCTGGAAACTCGTAAGAACTACCAGGGGACATTCAAAACAGCCTAGAATGAATGCTATACGAGACCAGAATGGCTGTATTCTGAATGTCGAAGTTTTGAGTTTAAGGAGATGGAAGGAATACTTTGAAAGCGTATTTATGGTGATGAGACGTTTGAATTAAATGAAATTGAAATTCCGAAAGAAGAGGAAATAGATAGAGATATAAGTATAGATGAAATAATGAAAGCAATGAAAAGTATGAAAGCAGGTAAGGCAGCCGGTTATGATAGAGTATCTCTCGAAATGCTAAGGGCTGGAGAAGGAGTGGTGGCAGACCTGCTGTACACCTTGTTTAATTTATGTTGGGAAATTAAGCGGGTACCGGGAAACTGGTGCAAAGCCGTGATAGTCCCAATATATAAGGGACAAGGATCACAGCAGGACTGTAATAACTACCGTGGTATCAGCCTTCTTAGCATTGTGGGAAAACTGTATGCTAAGGTACTAATTGAAAGAGTTATGAAAGAAACTGATGGAAAAATTTGGGATGTGCAAGCGGGATTTAGAAAGGGAATGGGATGTACGGATCAGATCTTTTCCATGCGCATGATCGCGGAGAAGTTTTTGGCTAAAAACCAAAAAGTTTTTTGTGCGTTCATAGACTTGGAGAAGGCTTATGACAGAGTGGACAGGCAGGCGTGTCACTTTGTAAAAATCTGAGGTATGGAAAATGGTGGCGCGATTTTCAAATTTGTTCGCATTACTCGTGGGGTATTAAGGTTTAAGAGTTTGCAGTGTATATACTCAACTTATTTATTGAACTATAAGATGTGGGGTATTGAGGTTTAAGGGCTTGCGATTTATTTATATGGGGTTTGTAGTAATATGCGATTTATTTCCTAATTTCAGCTATGGAATTCCATACCTTGAAAAACTTGAGGTATGGAGTGCTCCATACCTTCCATAGTGGAAGTGACACCCCTGTGGACAGGGATGTGTTATGGCAAACACTGAACTCATTTGGGTTGACCGCTGGTCTGATACAGGCATTGAAGTCTCTATATAGGGACTCTAGTGCTTGTGTCAGGATCAACGGGGCCTACTCGGACTGGTTTGGCATCCATAAAGGTGTCAGACAGGGCTGTGTGGCTTCCCCGTGGTTGTTCAACCTATTTATGGACAGTTGTTTGGAAAATTTGAAAGTAGAAGAATGCGGGTTAAGAATGGGTGAGTTAACTGTCAAATTCCTTTCGTACGCCGATGATCAAGTCATACTTGCATCGTCGGCAGCCGAGTTGCAAATGATGGTTACATTAATGAACAGGACATAAAAAGAAAAGGGAATGAAAGTGAACGCAAGTAAGACGAAAGTTATGGTTATTGAAAGAGAAGAAAGTAAAACGATATGTGAAATAAGAATAGAAGGGGAGTTGGTAGAGCAAGTAGATGAGTTTGTATATTTGGGATGTGTGTTTAGCAGGGATGGTAGATATGATAAGGATATAGAACGACGAGTGAATGCAGGAAATAGAGTGAATGGGGCTCTACATTCTATTGTAAAAAGTCAGAATGTGTCCAAAAAGGCACGTATGGCAATTCACAATGCTGTGTTAGTACCTACTTTAATGTATGGTAGTGAAAGTTGGGTGTGGCAGAAGAAGCACGAGAGTAGAATAAATGCTGTAGAAATGCGGTCATTAAGGAGTATGTTAGGGATGAATCTGAATGACAGAGTGAGAAATTGTTTAATAAGAGAAGAGTGTGGTTTGCAAGATGATGTTGTGACCAGGATTAAGAAAGGAATGCTTCGGTGGTTTGGCCATGTAGAAAGAATGAATGAGGAAAGAGTGACAAAGCAAATTTATGTTGCAGAGGTGAACGGCATAGTCGGGAAGGGTCGCCCTAGGCGAAAGTTTATCGACCAAATTGGCGATATATTAAAAATGGGCCAAATCAAGAGTATCTTTAACCGACGAGCGTGTATGCGTAGGTATATGGATGTGGAGGAAGCGAGAGAGGTGTGTCAGGATCGTGCCAAATGGAAGTCCATAATCTCTGCCTACCCCTCTGGGTGACAGGCGTGAGTGTTATTGTATGTATTATGTATGTATGTATGTATTATTATAAAAAAAGTTCAACGACTTTTTTATCGTTGTTGTCCATTAGTCATCAGTATATAAATATGTATTAAGTATGTATGTTGTATGTTTGTAAGTATGTTTGACTGCCTCGCTGGTCTAGTGGTTGCAGTAGTGCGACTGCTGATCATGAGCTCCGGGGTTCGAATCCCGAGTCGGGCCAAAAAATAATTTATTGAGTTTTTCCATCAAGAAGTTCTCAGTAGTTGCCCGGAGTTGGGAAGTTGGCGGTGTC